AAAAGAAAAGAAAAGAAAAGAAAAAGAAATGAAAATGAAAAAAGAAATAACTACAGACTACAGCCTTCGTATTTTAGTAAGCTATCCATATTCTTCAGGGATTAACGAGAAAAGGTAGGATTAACAATATCAAACAAGGATTTAGACATGGAATACTGAAATAAATATAATATAAAACTCATTTCCTTGCATCTCGTCGATTGTTGGTTCAGATCCTCAGTTGTTTGTTTAAAATAGCTTGTCAAATCTTAAGCTGATCACAGTAGTTTTTAACGGGATTGTAAAAGTGATTATCGCACACAGTGTGCATAATATTACGATTAAAGTTTGGATTCGATTGAAAATTAATCAATGTACGAAGATTTCTAAATTAAGTTGAATGTTTGGTTCCCTTTGTTACAGTTGGCACAGTTAGCACGAATGAACCATGCTGGCCTTGCATCTCATTATCCGATGGGGAATTTCCAGTTAACGTTTAGATTCAACTGCTTTTGAAAACGCCTAGCTCGTTAAACAACAAGTGGGCTAATGGCTCAAGAAAAAAAGCAATTTTTGTTTGATGGTCATAAAGATAGATACTGATAAAGAATAACTAAAGATTGAATCAAACTATTACGATTCTCTAGTTCAATCAGGGAAGAGAGAAGGCATGAATCATCGGACACCTCAAGAAGTGAGTTATAAGCTGCAATCCAGAAAAAAGGTTTTTGTTGATGAGAAAAATGTTAAGAGAAAAATAGCAGAACTAAATAATTGCATAATGATAATCGTTCAAGAGCCTCAGGCTGCGTGGTATCTTAATCTCAAGATTTCATTTTAGCGACGCACTAACGACGTCAATAGCTCTCGGTATGTAACAGTAATATAGGCTTGCCATCATTGGAATAGTACGGTAGTCGGAAATGCTACATAAGAGTGGCGACTGAGAAAACACTTTTGATCTGTTTTGCTATGTTTAGATGTCTTATAATCTTTGAAGAAGCATTTGCAAATCCATTATTATTAAAATTCTTATTGAAAAAATTATTTGTTTTTTCGATTGTATTCCGATTGTCTTCTTTTTTATCTCTTTCTTTCTGTCATCTTTCCGTTTTTATTTCTTCCTTCTTTCTTTAATCTCTTTTTTTGCTTGTTTGCTTCTATTTTCTCTCTTTATACTTTCCCTTCCTCCTTCCTCCTTCTCCTCCTCCTCCTTCTCGGCCTTCTCCTCCTCCTCCTCCTCCTCCTCCTCCTTCCTTTCTCTTTTTTTCTAATTTATCTTCTTTCTTAAGACATATAGATGGACATGTTCTTCGGTACATCATAAACATTTCTATTTCTATACTAGTATGAGGAAAAGTTCACACTGACAAACATCAGCATCAAGACAAACACAAGGTTAAAGTGTAACTCGGAATCATTAAGCCAATGCATAAACATAAGCATACAAGGATTCAAACTCTTCCATATTCTAATACTTATGCCGTGAAATTTCATGCAAGTGCGAAGCCTAATTACAAAAACAGGAAAGGCTTTGTTAAATCGTGAACCAACCGTCCCTAACAGGTAGCAGATGAAGACAACCGCTGCTTTAGCAATTAAAACTGTCTTGATGCGATGCACTTTATGGTGACTTATGGATTAATCAGAATATTCTTTTATATCCTACCGGTATTATGTTGAGTTTGGCTACGATAATTTTTTTCTTAGAAACCATTTTATTATCTGTCTAAGCGAAGCTCGCGTCGCTTTTTTATTTATTTCCTTAGGAGTTTTTCCTAAAAAATCAGATTAGACTTTTTTTTACATCGTTGGAATCTTTAAATCTTTCTTCATAATTCAAAATTACTAATGCTGTCCATTTATTTTTGTTTTGATAGCGAAAAACTGTTAAGTCATAAAATAAATTTCGATACATTTTTACTTCTTCGGTTTAGAAATTTGTAGATAACAATAATTAAAGAATAAGATATTCTAAAACGCTTTTGATAGCTTGAAATCTGCGAACCTTTTCTATGGCTTACATTTCTTTGAATCCAAAATTACTAAAACTGTCCATTTTTCTTTGTTTTGAAAATAAAAACAGATATTGACAAAAATACCTCTTCTGATACAAGAAAGTAGAAATGAATAGAAAAAGTGGACGGGAAAGAAATGGATTGGAAAGGAATTGAGAGGAGGAACGAGGAGAGGAAACAGAAAAAGTAAGACGAAAGATCAACGCCGACGCCAGTCCTTTTAATAAAATGCACTTAAAAGCATTATAAAATGAAAAAAAATAGATATTAAAAAAATGGATATAAAGATAGATTTTGGAGGGAGAAAAACCGGAGAAAAAACCCTTAAATCAAGGAGAGACATCCTAAAAACTCCACTCACATGTGATAACGAGTCTATGAATTGAATCAGACATCCCCGAGATCCCTAGACTACTAAACTATATTATCGACGACAGCTAGCTATGAACTTAACTTAAAACTACTGCTTTAATTAAAGTAATGCTATATAAAGTCTAATCGTAGTTTGTAGCTTACCTTGTTAACATGGACCACGATAAACCCCAACATGAAGTTTTCGGTTGGTATTTTGCATATTCATAAAGCTATTGAAATAAAATGAAAAGAAATTATGAAGTATTGGATTCTACCTCATGCGATGATACTATAGGCTGCGTTCATAATGTATGGCAGNAGGCTGCGTTCATAATGTATGGCAGAGGGGAACGGGGGGTCAGTTGAATTTTAGGGGGCATCGGGAAAATTTTGGTAGGAAAAAGGGATGAAGATCGTCGAGTTTCTCGGACAGATGGCAACAATAGTACTCTCTCGATAAGGCTGCGTTCATAATGTGGAGGGAGGGGGGCAGGAGAAATTGAGGGGGGATCGGGGAAAGTTTGGTAGGAAAAGGGTGATGATGAAAGGGCTTTTGATTTGTTTTTAGTCAGTATAACTGTGAAAGAGCTTTTAGCTTGACAAATCTACGTCATGATTTACCTAAAAACTGTTTTCTGTTAAGACAAGAAGCGGTGCACGGAGATTACTTCGAGAAGCTAGTGTAATTAAGAAGAAAGTAATTTGACTTAATTCTCTTCCTTTCCCAGGATCTCCGCATAATCCTTTTTCATGAATCCTTCCATCTCGTTTTCCATTCTCTTTGCCTTTCTGCCCTACATCTATTCTTTTTCCTTTTCACCACTTCGCGCACTTTATCCAATTCTTTTTGAGTCTCACTATTCTTTTCCCGCTTACGAGTTATTCTAATTCATTTTACCCTGCCATATAGTGTGAAGGCATTTATCCCGTGAAATAAAAGATACTAGTCAACGTGTGATAGTTAAATAGACACAAAAGAAAACAATGGAATTAGGGTCTATTAATGTGTATTAGTCTAATATCTATTTCACGGGTTTAGTGACTTCACTCTACCCTATAGAACGGTTGTTGGAGCTAAAGGAAATAGCCGGGCGATAGGAAGGAAAGAAATTATGGACAATCAACTAAACACGAATAATAGAGGAATTTCGCCTTTGGCTCCAAGAACCTTTTTTGAAATAGGTGTATAATGGACCAAGGAGGAAAAGTTGGAGGAAAAGAGGGAAAGCGAAACAAAAAAGATGGAGACGTAGGAGAACAAAAAGAAAACAAGAAGGAGAAAAAGAAATAAAACCAAAAGAAAAAAAAGGTAAGTTATTGTGTGCGCTATTGTCAAAACTAAGAAAGAAAAAACTAATGATGTATCATAATGTATACACTGGCACCTATTTCAATAAACGTTGTCATCGCCAAAGGCGATAGGCGACAGGTCATTACGTGGAATACAAACAACATTGAATCAGTCTCAACGCTAAGGTCCATATTCTTGACAAGAATAAGAAGCAGAAACACAATTCATTCGAGCTATTCTTGGATCTTGGAATGACCAATCGCCTATGGCTTTTCGCCTATTGCCTATTGCCTTTGGCGAAGACCACGTTGATTGAAATAGGTGTATTCAACTCCTCATTTCATATTTGAACACTAAAGACCTGTATGGCTTCGAGTTCTTTAGTAGTGAGTCAAAACCAAACATATTCATAGTAAAATAGATATATAGTTTTTGTGTGTCTGGAATTTTCTATAAGATATAATGTGAAAAAGATGTGCTGGAAAAGCTCTATGTTATGGGAACCTACAAGTGTGCCCACACTAGGACAGAAAATCCCCTGCTTTGCTTTAGATTGAACTTAGTGTTAAAAATGAAATAAAAAATGCCAAACAGCAGGAAAAGAGAGAAGTCCAGATACTTGATTCCCAAGAGAGTCAAAAGACAAAAATATGGCGGCCATTGTGGTGCCGAACAATGGATGCTAATGAGAAATCTTTTGTTAAATGGCACCAAAATGGCCGCGATGACGTAACGTGCAATCGAAGAATTCCAGACAAGAATACAGTGGAGCCTTTGTAATACGGACACCGAAGGACCACAAGAAGTATCCGTAATATAGAGGTGTCTTTGATATAGAGGTCGGGTCTATGAAACAAAGAATGTATGGTGATCTTGAAAGGACCTAAATACTGTCCGTAAAATATAGAGGTGCCCGTACTGAATACAGAGGTGTCTGTTATATAGAGGTGTCCGTACTAAATACAGAGTTGTCGCCTTAATATAGAGGTCTGGTTTATGAAACAAAGAAGGTATGGTAATATAGAGGTGTCCTCTGAATAAAGAGGTATCCGTAAGGTGTTCCACTGTAATCTCTAGTGTCTAGAAAGTTTTGGTAATATTAATGCATTTTCGATAGAGAGCTCGTGTTGGTCGCTCACGTTTTCACTAGAGGTTACGCGACCAAAATTACACAAATCAAGACTTCAGAGAAAGCAAAAAAAGGGCGGAAAACACAAGTAAAAATAAACTGTTTTAGCTTGGGCGGATTGCGTAATGTTTTCCCAATTCAGACCACGTGTCATTCCCTAGAGTGTCATTTCTTTGTTTAACGGTTGTGCATGAGACGACACATGAATACGGATACAACTCAAACAAAAAAATCTTTTCTCAAGGGAATGAAATGTGGATTGAAATGGGAAACAAAATAAAAAGTAATCGTGAAATGACTATTGGCCACGTCTTTAAATGTTAAACAAACTCCCAAACGTTTGCAACTTCAACATTACGAAAGAACGCACGTACTTAGAAAAATATTTTTCTGCAAGTTTTTTAAAATCTACAACTATGTGCAAAGAACTAGTTCTAAGATATAATAAAAAACCGAAACGTTCAAACAAAACATACTCGATTAAACCCTTTTTGTGTTAACGTGAATATGATATTAAAGTTTTCAACATCATTTTTCTAAACAATCAGTACTTAGAAATGAAGTCAAAATGATTTAAGCTACCGAGCGTTGCTATTATATTTGTTTTCCAAAATAAAAGATGTGTGTGATTCGGTAACAGAATTAAGGGAAATGAAAAGAAGTTGATAAAGGAATAGTAAGTTACTCTGGAAAAATATAAAACAGTTTTAGAGTACTTATATTAGTTCTAGTAAATGAAGGTTAAAGCTTTGCATAAAATAATATAAATATTTTGCAGATTATGGAAAACTTACGCTAATAACTCCAAATGTTCCAGAAACTTCCGACTGTTGAAATACGATTTTTCCAGAATAATCATGGCATAACTGGGATGTATATAGCACAATAAAACTTGTAATATAAGCGTTTTGAGTTGAAGGCGATTGTACGAGGTTAACTTTATGATCTTGACTGAATCTGTCCACTGACAATAACAAACCGAGTAAATAACAAGATTTAACATATCTATAGTTAGAGATAGGAATACTAAGAGAGGAACGAAAACAATGCGATCCAATATTATCACAGATGCACAGATTTGATTGGATCCAGTTGAGGTTTATTGAATCGAGAAGATATAAAACTTGCCAAACACAAAAATATAATTGAAAGGCTTTAATCCTTGTTATGGGAAGAATAAGTGGCGTGGCTTCAAATGCCATTCATGCCGTTTCCTCGTACTATTAAACCTTTTCAGAGTTCATTCGTGATACTTGAGATCAAAAAATAAGCTAATTTTTGGACAAGTTTGGAATTATGCATCCCAACTGTGAAATACCATGGAAATCTGTACCGAAATTAATTCATACAGAACAGTCATCATAACAAGCTATCCAACATGCGTATGTTATATTTAACAGGATAAATTATGTCTTAAAGTAGTTTTTATCTTGACTGTCCTATAGTAATGTCAGTCTGTCTCACCTACGAGTAATTGTAGGCGGGAATGTAACAATAATAATAATAATAATAATAATAATAATAATAATAATAACAACAACAACAACAACAGCAACAACAACAACAACAACAACAATAATAATAATAATAATAATAATAGGAAGTACTTGATGAGCTCATTTAAAAATCTCAATGCGCTTACAAAATCTAAAAAACGACAAAACTAAGAAAAAATGAACTATACCTAGGTAAAATACTAATGTTCAAGAGTCAGATGGCGACTGAAAAGGTAAGTCTTGAGCGCGGTCTTAAATGATAAGACGGACGGGGCTAACCATGCTCAGGTAAAGAGTTCCAGAGTTTGGGTGCAGCGAAGGAGGAATGCCCTCTCGCCATAGTTGATCGTGTTTGGACGGCTAGAGATCTGTAATAAGGATTTAACAGAGGTGCGAAGTGTGCGGGTAGGACAGCGAAGCTTTACAAGATAAGATAGGTAGGATGGAGCTTGGTTGTGGAGGGACTTGTAAGTAATGAGTAGAATCTTAAATTCCAGTGGAGGTCGAGAAGAATAGGAGTAATATGGTCAAATCGACCAGCTCCCACGATCAGTCCAGCCGCAGCATTCTGTACCCTTTGTAACTTAGTGAGTTCGGTGGAAGGCAGGCCGTGAAATAACGAGTGCATTAACCAACCGCTCGAGTGCAAACTTTACATAAATGACTTTCCGCTTAATATCATCTGTATGGTCGCCTTCTTTATATTGAAAAATACAAAATACAAGAATCAAGTCGAGTTGGGCAAGTCTCTTACTAATATATCGTCGACGCGGGCATTTTAGATCTGTAGTTAGAAATTAATCTGCCGGGTTTGCTTTTTGATTTGGAAAACAAAAGAACTGATGACTTCCCATTTTCTAGTAATTCGTTTTTTTAATTACGATTACACAAAAGTTCTTTGTGCTTTTTTGACAAGAACCTATGTACTATTTATCTACTGATAAGATTTTTTCATTTCAAGTCACAGATGAAAAAAGAAGCAAGAGAATGAGTGAAAAAAGGAGCTTCAATCCTACCGTTTCAGTAGGAAATTTGATTTGATTAGATTTGATATGATTATGAATTAAAGTGTGGGGTTGTTTTGTTTCACTTCGCTCAAGATTCTGGACAAAAACAAAACCTTTGAAATCACTTCAATTACCAAAAACAAAATAACTTATCCATAAACACTTACCTCTAGGAGCTCTGTAGTCGGCAAATCGACGTCTCTAAGAGGAGTAATTTAAATTAACCTGTCTATTACAACGGTTTTGAAATATTAACAAACCAATTAAATACCCAGAGTAAACGAAGATGGTACGTGCGCGGTTTGTGCTAGAAATTCAGTGTATGTTGGCTTTCGCTCAGCATGGAGTACATTGCTTTGCTACGTGACTGACAGTAAGACAGGTATTCATGCCAATCCCCACCGTGTTAGTACACTATTCTGGGACATTTTAGTAGATATCAAGATATTTTCAATAATAATTTAGGTTCCGACAGTGTTTTTACGCATTTTTTTCCATTGGACTTTCTCGACGCAAAGTTTCCGTTAAGAAAAAATCAACAATAATGAAGGCCTAGAATAAGAAATGTTTGGTAAAATTCACGCTGTTTTCGTTTGTTAAAAGATCTTTCTGGTGAAAACCGGAATACTATACTTAATTCGTTATGAAGAAAATCTATCGCCTTGTTCACAGGCTATCGTCAACAAGAGGAATGTCCTTAGAATTCGAATTCGAAAAAATGTCATAGCTCTACTTGCAAGAGATCACGTTTGAGGAGCATCTCCAAGGAAACCACCTGCATCAGATATACCGAAAGTTGTCATATCTTATTCATAAGCGGCGCATCATAGATATTGTGAGGAAAGAATATCGCATCGTGGTTTTATCTTTATCTAATTATTGCAACATTCAACAACAGATTACTCTAATATGATTAATCTATACAATCTCGCTACCAGAAATAAAGGCTTTGGGAACGAAACTGTATTCTATAGAAAAGTTTTTTAGAAATTATTTTTACAATAAAAATTGCGTTGCGTGGCCAACGCCACAGTCTCCCGCTCAGCCGTTTTAGGTTTCCGGGCCGTGGAAGGAGCGTTGCGTGACGACACTAAAAACGGCTGCGGGTGAGACTACCAACGCAGGTTCTCTACATTCTCTATATACAAGACGCCGGGTGAGGAGACTACTTCCATCCCAATGGTTGCAGAGGAAAATTCCCCACACGTGTTTGGTGGGGGGAGGGGAGGGAAGGGTAAAAAATCGTGTGTACTTCAGATGTGTCATGGAAAACACTTGTTGGAAGTCGGGACTTCTTATTCATGTCTGAAACTATGGAATATATATTTTTTAAATCATGCAAAAAAATTCAGTTCAGGACTTCCACCTAACACTAGACTTTGGAGTTCCAAAGTCTCCGTCCCAAAGAAATAATCTAATCGCCAATCGCAGAATGAAATTGTTCAAATTTCCTCATTAAGCAGATAATCTAACTGAATTTTCATGTTCTTATGAAGACAATTGCAATATTGCTAAAAATATAGGTTTTATTTTAATCATTTGATTGTAAAATACTAGACAATTTATTCCAGACCCAGTGATGAACTCGAGGTAATCCCAGGTTTGCAATTCTACTTTTCATTAATTCCCGGTCTATGACCTAAATTCCATCCCAGACCCAGTGATGAACCTTGGGGTAACCCCA